ATATAATATAAATTGCAATGAATAAAAAAAATGAATAAATAAAGTGAACTGCCGCTACTCTCTTCCTGAATACCAGAAAAATGAATAATAAATGAGTGCGCTGTACACTAAAACAATCTTACACAATAACTAAACCCAATGTACCAAAAATGTACCACAAATAAATATGTGCATATACAAAATGCGACGTCACAGAAAACTCCGCCGACGCGTTTCTCCAAAACTGGCGTCCTCTAGGATTGGAGAACTCCAATCCCAGAGGATACCAGTTTTGGAGAAATGCATCGGGCAGAGTTTTCTGTGACGTCACCACGTTCCAGCCGGTGGTATGACATCGCGGGAATTTTGAATTTATACACGGACCTTATGCACCTTATCTTTGTAAGTGCAATATTTTACTAAATAAATCTTTGAGTTTTATCAGGTTGCACTATGAATCTCTTCTGTTTTAATCCTTCTCTGCACTGTATGGAGAGTGGTTCGATGTGAGGAATTCGTTCAGGTGAACCCGCAGACATCCATCTCCCTTGATATTGCAAGCACGGGTGTCAGTGTGGAATCTGGACACCATCTGCTTGTTTGATCTTTTGATTGGAGATGAATGTGTCTGGTAAGAGGCTGATTTGTTTGTTGTGGTGAGCACTTGTGGACACCATAGCACTCTGTTGGAGGATTTTTTTCAGCACGCAGCACTTTCACATGGGATTTGGGACTTTTTTGATAACTTTATATTATGTACATGGACTTTTAGCGTTTTAGATGTATTTTTTTGCACATTTTGTATATGTACATATTTACTTGTATGCAATTGCAGGCACTCCAATGTTGCTTCAGATTTTTTTTACTAAGGGCCCATCAAGAAGTTTCTGTGACGTCACCAACGTTCTCTATCGCGGGAATTTTGAATTTTTACAACGGACCTTATGCACCATATCCTTTGTAATATTAGCAGTGTCCTGGAAGGCAGCGATGCTTGATGCACTTTTTCTTTGCTAATTTTAGTTCACAAAGTGACATTGCATTTGGTTCTATTGGCCACAGCATGGGAGTCATGTAGTTGATTGCATTGCACCATGCTGTACTGAAAATAATACTGCATGCTGTAATTTTTTCCAGCTCACACCACCTCAGCACAGTGGTGTGAACTATCATGATGCGGGCACAAGGATTTTTGCCTTGTCTATGCATTGGGCAAAGCTGCCCAGTGCATCTGGTGTGAATGAGCCCTAAGGCGTTCCAAGTCTCTGGAAGACCAGGGCACTGTAGAATGGTTTACTAAAGGGTTTGACAATAAATTGTGTGAATATTCAGTTCCATTATCTAATTGTGCAGATTAAATAAGTAAACAGGGATTTTCTTTTCACATGATTGGATAATTAAAGGTAATATTTAAACAATTTAGTATGTAAACAATCTCAACCCACTTAGTAACTCAACCTATTTCAACCTAGAAAGATGGCACTTTGGACCATGCCTCACTATAGGCCAATCACTATAATGCTCGGCTTCAATGACCAGTAATGAGGCATGGGCAGGGCGTTTTTTTTAGCAGGAATGCAAGGCAACGCAGTTCCAGCACCTCCGGCACTGAATGTATGTAATGGCAAGGAGTGCTGTTTTCTGCCGAAGAGACTATTGATGGAGTCTGCTCGGGGGATCTATTGTTGAAGGGCAAATTGTTGCTGGGAGGGATCTACTTTTGAGGGAGGTGTCTGTTGTTGCTGGCTGTTCAGAGATCTATTGTTGCTGGTGGGGTCTATTGTTGCTGGGGGTTCTTTTGTTGCTGGCAGCAGGGTATCTGTATACTGTTTGTTATGTTTTCTTTAGTAAATTCCATACAAATTACTTAACACCACAAAATTTTACTGTATTCACTAATAGCTGTGGCACTGGTAGGTGGGTAGGCATTGGAACCAAAGAATGCTGCTCGTAGGTGGGTAGGGGGTGGAGACAAGGGATGACTAGTAAGAGGGGAGTTCCTGCACCTACTCTCTGAGAAAAAAAACCCTGAGCAGTGGCATGACAAGTAAAAGTGCTACCTTTCTGTGCTTTGTAGTAGGTTGCAATAATTGTACCCCAAGGACATAGTGCTTTGCAACACATATTAGACAGGATTTTGTTTTCATTCTCTGGAGTGTGTTAACAGCCCAATCATTTTGAAAGAGCTGTGTAATGCAACATTACTTAAACCCCAACCCCTGGCACGTTTTTCATCTACAATATATTCTATAACTTCTGTTAATTGTTTTTATTTTTTTTTTACGTCTTTATTTGGTTGTAAGCTCAACTGAGACGCTGCTGCAAAGTAAAGTGAAAGCCACACTTCTGGCTCCCAGTTTCATTGGAGCGATCTTTGTTAAAGACAACAGTTCTGATTGCTGCTACGTTCACAAAGTATAGCCTGTGAACAGAATTTATAGAGAATAGTATAGGTTAAAAAAAAAAAACAGCAAAAGCCACTGTGCCTGGACACAACATAGCGTACTTTCTCATATAAATGGGGCTTTATGGGGTTCAGTGGATCCTAATGTTATAGGTAATCAGTGAATTTGTTGATTGCATGCAACCTAGTCTGTGTTTAGACTAGAGGACAAAAATCAGTGATGTGCACTCTGTTTCATCTGCCAGTATAGGGTGACTGTGATGTGAAGAAGGGGGACTGTGAAGTGAAGGGGGTCTGTGATGTAAAGGATGGGGACTATGAAGTGAAGGGGGTCTGTCATGTAATGGGGGGGGCTGTGATGTAAAGGAGGGGGACTGTGAAGTGAAGGGGGGCTGTCATATAACAGGGGGGATTGTGATGTAAAGGAGGGGGACTGTGAAGTGAAGGGGGTCTGTCATGTAACAGGGGGGACTGTGGTGTAAAGGAGGGGGACTGTGAAGTGAAGGGGGTCTGTCATGTAACAGGGGGACTGTGATGTAAAGGAGCGGGACTGTGAAGTGAAAGGGGTCTGTCATGTAACAGAGGGGGCTGTGATGTAAAGGAGGGGGACTGTGAAGTGAAGGGGTCTGTCATATAACAGAGGTGACTGTGATGTAAAGGGGGGCTGTGATGTGAAGGAGGAACTGTGATGCAAAGGGTGGAGCTGTAACGTAAAAGAAGAGGGTTGTGATGTGAAAGAGGCTTTGATGTGAAGGTGGGGGAGCTGTGATATGAAGGGGGGCCGTGATGTAAAGGGGGAGCTGTGATATGAAGGGGGGCCGTGATGTAAAGGAGGAGCGGTGATGATGTGATGAAGAAGGGGGGTTGTGATGTAAAGGGGGGGCTGTGATGTAAAGGGGGAGCTGTGATATGAAGGGGGGCCGTGATGTAAAGGGGGAGCGGTGTATGATGGGCTGTGAAAGGGGGGCGGATGAAGGGGGGTTGTGATGTAAAGGGGAGCTGTGATATGAAGGGGGGCCGTGATGTAAAGGGGGAGCGGTGATATGAAGGGGGGCCTGTGATGTAAAGGTGGGGTGAGCGAAAGGGGGAGCTGTGATATATGAAGGGTGGGCTGTGATGTAAAGGTGGAGCGGTGATATGAAGGGGGGCTGTGATGTAAAGGGGGAGCTGTGATATGAAGGGGGGTTGTGATGCAAAAGGGGAGCTGTGATATGAAGGTGATATGAAGGGGGGCTGTGATGTAAAGGGGGAAGCTGTGATATGAAGGGGGGCCATGATGTAAAGGGGGAGCTGTGATATGAAGGTTGGCCCTGATGTAAAGGGGGAGCGGTGATATGAAGGGGGGCTGTGATATAAACGGGGAGCTGTGATATGAAGGTAATATGATGTGAAGGGGGGCTGTGATATGAAGATGACATGAAGGGGGGCCGTGATGTAAAGTGAGGGACTGAGACATAAGGGAAGAGGATAATGATGTGAAAGGGGGCTTGTGATGTAAAAGAAGAGGCTGTAATGCAAAGGGGGGAGGATGTGATGTAAATGGTGACTGTGCTTTAAAAAGAGTCAGGAGTTTAACGGAAAGGAAGGGGCTGTGATGTAAAGGGGGAACTATGATGTAATAAAGGGCGGGGGGCGACTGCACAGATACTTGCATGCAGGCCAGCAATGCAGGTACATCCCTGGTGTTGTGCATTTGTTTTAGTAAATCACTGTCTTTTCACTTCAGCTTCAGATTGTGCTAAACCATATTAAATGATAGAACCCTGTAGTTAAATATAAGCAACTACTGGGCTTTGCTATTTGACTACATTATGCACACTTAGGCCCACTCACACCAGGTGAGTCCCCCTCCTTTACATCACAGTCCCCTCTGTTACATGACAGACCCCCTTCACTTTACAGTCCCCTCCTTTACATCACAGTCCCCTCTGTTACATGATAGACCCCCTTCACTTCACAGTCCCCCTCCTTTACATCACAGTCCCCTCTGTTACATGACAGACCCCCTTCACTTTACACAGTCCCCCTCCTTTACATCACAGTCCCCTCTGTTACATGACAGACCCCCTTCACTTTACAGTCCCCCTCCTTTACATCACAGTCCCCTCTGTTACATGACAGACCCCCTTCACTTCACAGTCCCCCTCCTTTACATCACAGTCCCCTCTGTTACATGACAGACCCCCTTCACTTCACAGTCCCCCTCCTTTACATCACAGTCCCCTCTGTTACATGACAGACCCCCTTCACTTCACAGTCCCGCTCCTTTACATCACAATCCCCTCTGTTACATGACAGACCCCCTTCAGTTCACAGTCCACAAAAGAGGAGACGTGCCTCAGCAACGCCACAGAAAAGGTATTGGGGATTTTCCTTATATGAACGGCTCCCATAAATGTATTTCACACGTGTCCCTAGCCATTTACCTGAGGTTCAGCATTAAGACTGGAATATTCAAATCTTTGCAGAAACCGTCATGACTTGTTCCCTTTAAAACTTTTAAAATGTATTTTTATAGCATCTGTATTACAGGTTATTTATAGTAATTGTTATTTAATGTGTCTATTACAATAATGTAAAATACTTTTTATACCTATCATATTGATCTTTTTTGCAGCTAAAGAAGTTTGCCCATGCAAATATCCTTGGGGGGATGAAACATTATTACGATGACTTGGATTTCAAGAACATAATGGATTTTGTGCAAGAAAAGGTTGGTGAATGTTGGCAGACATGTACTGAAAGGTCATAATCTTGATTGATTGAGGATTTTGTTAACAAATAAGAGCTATTGAGTGACCATTATAAGCAAATTAGCAAGAAATGTAGATGTTTAACAGTTTTATGTGTGTTTGTCACTGCAATCCTAAACAGCCTACTGAGACAGATTAGCACAGGCCTGTGACACGGTTAATACTGGAGATGAGACCGGTTTTCACACTAAACAGACACACCATTAAGAAGTGGTCAGGGACAGGTTTTATTGTCCCAGTGCTGTTTTAGAGCAGCTGATGTAGGAATTTATGAATGGACCTGGCTGTCGTAAATCTCTCTCAAGTCTTTCTCACTTCTCCTGTTTAATGTTGCCTTGCTTTGAGACACAATTGCATGTTAGTTCTATAATTATTCAGCGCTGCAATTACTCACAGTAACCAAGGGACTGTTGTGATCTAGGGAGCACGTAACATTACAATTATTTACAAAATTTTTATCCAGCTGTACAACAGTAACGGCAGTGTTTGATTATATAGTAATGAATTTAAGACTTCACCATTTTACTTATCCTTTTCTTTGCTGTTAAAGTGTATTTTTTTCTAATATAACAAACATGTTATACTTACCTGCTCTGTCCTCTTCTGGGATCCCCCGCAAGCACACATGCGGGCACACCTCCCTCCTCTCAGGAGTTAATTGACATCAACAGGAGCCAATGGCTCTCTCTGCTCTCACTGAGTCCTGTGAGGAAAAGAGAAAGCAGCGCTGCTGCAATCAGGCACAGATATAGGAATGCCTGTAAGAAAAACTGAAACATTGGAGAAAAAACTGTTACTTTTCCGTTTATTTCCCAAAGCCATGTTTTGTTTTTGTTTGGTGAAAAATTAAAAAAAAAAAAGAATGTGGATTATATTCTTTTATCTTGATATATAAAATATATATGATATGATATTCAAACTACACACTGCTCAAAAACATTAAACGAACACTTTTTAATCAGAGTATAGCATCAAGTCAATTAAACTCCTGGCACATTGATCTGGTCAGTTAAGTAGCAGAGGGGGTTGTTAATCAGTTTCAGCTGCTTTGGTGTTAATGAAATTAACAGGTGCACTAGATGGGCAACAATGAGACGACCCCCAAAACAGGAATGGTTTTACGGGTGGAAGTCACTGACATTTTTTTCCTTACTCATCTTTTCACTGTGTTTCACTAGTTTTGCATTTGGCTAGGGTCAGTGTCACTACTGGTAGCATGAGGTGATACCTGGAACCTACAGAGGTTGCACAGGCAGTCCAACTCCTCCAGGATGATACATCAATACGTGCCATTGCCAGAAGGTGTGCTGTGTCTCCCAGCACAGTCTTAGGAGCATGGAGGAGATTCCAGGAGACAGGCAGTTACCCTAGGAGAGCTGGACAGAGCCGTAGAAGGTCCTTAACCCATGAGCAGGGCTGGTATCGTCTCCTTGTGCAAGGAGGAACAGGGTGAGCACTGCCAGAGCCCTACAAAATGACCTCCAGCAGGCCACTGGTGTGAATGTCTCTGACCAAATAATCAGAAACAGATTTCATGAAGGTGGCCTGAGGGCCCGACGTCCTCTACTGGGCCCTGTGCTCACTGCCTAACACCATAGAGCTCAATTGGCATTTGCCACTGAACACCAGAATTGGCAGATCTGCCACTGGCTCCCTGTGCTTTTCACAGATGAGAGCAGATTCATCCTATGCACGTGTGACAGACGTGAAAGGGTCTGGAGAAGCCAGGGAGAACGTTATGCTGCCTGTAACATTGTTCAGCATGACCGTTTTGGTGGAGTCAGTGATGGTCTGGGGAGAAATATCTATAGAGGGACACACAGACTTCTACAGGTTAGACAATGGCACCCTGACTGCTATTATGCATTAGGATGAAATCCTTGGACGCATTGTCAGACCCTACGCTGGTGCAATGGGGCCTGGGTTCCTTCTGGTGCACGACAATGCCCAGCCTCATGTGGTGAGAGTATGCAGGCAGTTTCTGGAGGATGAAGGAATTGATACCATTGAATGGCCCCCATGCTCGCCTGACCTATATCCAATAGATATGTTTCGGTCCATCCGATGACGCCAGGTTGTACCTCAGATTGTCCAAGAGATCAGTGATGCCCTAATCCAGATCTGGGAGGAAATACCCCAGGACACCATCCGTTGTGTCATTAGGAGCATGCCCTGACATTGTCAGACATGCATACAAGCACTTGGGGGCCATACAAACTACTGAGTACCATTTTGAATTGCTGCAATGAAATTTCAGTAAAATGGACTAGCCTGATGCATCATTTTTTCACTATGATTTCAGGGTATCTTTGAATTCAGTCCTCTGTAGGCTGATAATGTTTATTTCCATCAAATGATGGGGCATCCTTACATTCCTAACACATTACCCAGTCCATATTAGTATAGATATCCAGCATGATCATTTTCCCCATTGAGATCTGATGTGTTTTCAAAGCGTTCGTTTAATTTTTTGGAGCAGTGTACATAACCTGAAAACCTTAATGAAATATTTCTGAGACTTTATGTAAAGTCTTAAATTATTGCAAGGGTAAATTTGTCTGACCAGTTAGTTTATCCTTATAACTTTTAAATGATTCCTATTTATGTTTTCCACCATCACCGCATAATGCTTACCTATATTCTAGTCAGCAAATTGGTTTTTCTTTTCCTCCTCTCAGTAAAATGGTGAGACCAACATGTAGAGTTTGGAAACATTTCCACAGTGAAATTTCTGCTGAGGGCAAAGCTGCAATTTGCAAATATTGTGAGAAGAAATATTATTTTTCCAAATGCTACGAGGATGACAAATCACATCCTTGTATGCCAGAGGTTCCCTAAAGACATTAAAAAATACTTTATGTGTAGCACTACCCCCTTAGGAGTTGCAAGAGATTTGGGTCCCCCTATAGTTCTGCACAGCCAGGCATCATGCATTTCCTCATTCAGACTTGCATTAGGAAACAGAAACCAGTTCTTGAGCTTGTTTTGAAGTTTTATTAGGGGTTTTAGAATTTGGATGGGGTAAGGGGATGTATAGGATGCCCAAGGGAAATGGCAACTGAGGATAAACTCCTTAGCAACTATGTACATGTCTCTATAGCAAAGTTTCTCTTCTGGAGAGCTAGCCAGCATCTCATGTAGTACCACCCCAGACTCCAGATAACTCCTCTTTTCATCCTGCTGTACTGGATGAATCCCTGGACAGGGAATCCAGTGCCTGCCACCACAGTGTGAAACAGTCCCTGGTAAGATAGCAAATCCAGTTCCGCACTAGAATGCTCCTTTCCCCTTACTGGCCCACGTGGGTGTAGGTGTAGCCTCTCCTGTGCTGCCGGTGGGTCGGTGGCTGCTACCAGGTCTTCTAGCTGTGCCACTCCTTCCCTGCCACACAGATGGTCCTCTCTCAGTGGGCCGGTGAAGTCCAAGTTTTCCCCCTTCCAAGGTCCTCCACCTGCACGTGAGCCCCTCTCCATCTGGTCTCCCTCACAGGCTCCTGCATCCAGCCTCACATCCTTCTCTCTCTTCCACCTCTCTCCTCCAACTCTCCTGCTGAGCAGGCTCTTACTTTTAAGGGTTGTCCTGGCCCCTTTCCAAGCCTCCTGTTGTTTATTGGCCAGAATCCCTCAAGAGTACAAGACAGCCACTCCTCAGATCCACCCACTGCCTCTAGACCTTCCTCCAAAGCTCTAGAGCAGGGAGAAATTCCAGAGGGGCTGGCCTCCCTCTCAGCCCTGACCACAATTTGACCTCTTGACTATTACACCCAGGCTGCTACTGAGACCTCCTCTCTAACAATGAGGACTCTAGTTCCCCCTAACTAAAAAGGAGGGCGGTACATATGGAATTAAATGATGAGGACCATAATGAAACTGCAAGTAGCTTGTCCCGCAATAGTTCTCATTCCAGAAACACCATTTCTGCTGCTTAGAAGGTGCATAGAAACCAATCAGCTTCCAGGTTTTATTCTCAAAGTGCACCACTGATCACTGCGCTGCACGCCCCCGGGGGCACGCACGTGCGGTTAGAGTGGGAGGACGTCATATGACATCCTCCCAGAACGAGAGAACCGCCTTGTGGCCGTCATTTCCTTATATGGCGGGCGGGAGTCGGGTAACCACTTGCCTACCGGGCACTTATACCCCCTTCTTTACCAGGCCAATTTTCAGCTTTCAGCGCTGTCGCACTTTGATTGATAATTGCGTGGTCATGCAAGATGCTACCCATATGAAATTTTTATCATTTTTTTCTCACAAATATAGCTTTATTTTGGTGGTATTAATCGCCACTGGGCGCTTTACTTTTTGCGCTATAAACAAAAAAATTGCAAAAAATTTGAAAAAAAAAGTTTCTTTGTTTCTATTATACAATTTTTCAAACAGGTAATTTTTCTCCTTCACTCCTTCACTGATGTGCGTTGATGAGGCAGCACTGATAGCCACTGATAGGTGGCACGGATGGGCATTGATAGGCAGCACTGAAGGGCACTGATAGGCAGCACTAATGAGGTGGCATGGATAGGCGGCACTGATAGGCAGCACTAATGAGGTGTCACGGATAGGCGGCACTGATATGCGGCACTGATAGGCGACACTGATGATGGGTACTGATAGACAGCACTGATAGGTGGCACTGACTGGCATCACTGCTGGGCTTTGACTGGTGGCACTGCTGGGCACTGACTGGCACAACCGCTGGGCACTGACTGGTGGCACTGACTGGCAGCACTGCTGGGCTGCACTTCTGGGCACTGGTGGGCACAGGTGGGTGGCACTGCTGGGCACAGGTAGGTGGCACTTCTGGGCACAGGTGTGTGACACTGCTGGGTGGCACAGGTGGGTGCACTACTGGGCACAGGTGGGTGCACTGCTGGGCACAGGTGGGCGGAGCTAGTGGGCGCACTGCTGGGCACAGGTGGGCGGAAGTTGTGGGTGGCACTGCTGGGCACCGATCATCAGGGCACTGATGATCGGTGCCGATCCCTACTCTGACTACTGCCGGTTCTCAGCAGTACTTTCCTCACGATCTGACAGCGTGAGGAAAGTGCAGCCGAGAACCAGCAATTGCATTTCCCGGTGATCAGCGTGTCATTGGACACGGCTTATCACGTGGTAAAAGGCCGCTGTGATTGGCCTTTTACCACATCACGTGATCAGCTGTGTCCGTAGGAGATCGCCAGGGGCACGCAGGAGAGCGCATTCTGGGAGGACGTTATATGACGCCCACCCAGAACTGGCCGGCCGCAGTGTAGCCGTCATTCGGCTATCTGCGGTCGGCAAGTAGTTAAAGTATATGTCAAGGCACAAAAAATATCTTTAGTATATCTCTGCTAGGTACTTTTGCACTTATTAAACAGATAATATAAAACATTTATATGGTATATTTAGCAGACCAAAAGGGAGCAAATTTGAGAAGGTAATGATAAGGCTTTACATAAATTTTTATTGTACTGTATTACTGTATCCACAGTAAGTCTGAGAGTCCCATGTGTGATGCTCAGGGAATTGTTGAAGATAGGTGCTTAAGAATATGTACAAACTTCAGGCTTTTTGGGGATGGGGGACAAGCTGCAACCTCAGCATAGGGAATACCTGTAGAACTGGTTATGGAGAAAATGTTATACATTTTTAAGGATGACCTGTGAATGCTAAACAATGCAAGGGTGCAGTTCTTTCCTGAATATTCAACAACATTTTTTTTTTAATGTAAATATTACATGGAGCTAAATTGTCTGGATCCAAAAGCAGCTACTTTGTACTGTGCACCTGCATCTATAGCCAAGGGCCTGTTTTACAAATATGTGTGGCCTTTGCACAACTTTCTGAAACATTAATTCACCTACAAAACCAGCTCTGAATTGTAATTTACTTATAATGCATTCCCAGCATGGAGCTGAATCCAAGAAATTCATTCAATGTGTCACAAGGTTCTGGCTCTTAGATTAATACTACCTGTTATGGTATTTCTTGTGTTTTATTCAAATACTTGTGTTAGGTGATCCATCTGGGCCAGCCGGTTCATTTATTTCAGACCTTGGCATTCAATATTTGTTCTGAGATCTATGGTAAAAATAGTAAACACGCAATGGACTGGAAAAGATTGAATGTATATAACGCGGTGGTGGGCTAATTCATATTAGTAGAGTGATTTTCATGCAGTGTTGGACTTGAAATGAATGACATGTCTTCCAGAAAATATAGCCAGTCTCATTATCGATGTCATCCTCTAATTGTTCAATCAGAACTTGTCCCTTATGTGCTTTAACATACAGAACACTTCCCACTATTGATTTCTACTTATGTGTCAGTTAAGCTCACAATGGGCAGTATGATTTGTTTTCTCACTTTCTCTGTGTATAGGGGTGAGGATTAAGGGTACATATCGATCCAAAAGGATCCATGAACAGATTCCCCGATGACTCAGAGCAGAAAAGAAATAAACAATCTTCACTTTTGTGACATCCATAGCCATTCATTTTATTTTCTTTATCTTGTGATAGAGCTAAAAAAACGGAGGTTAATGGACCCATGTTAGATTTACTGGCAGGCAGATGTAAAGAGATGTGCATCCGTTTACACCCTTTTACCTCCAATCCTTCATGTTTTGGTATGAAAAAATGGAAAAGAATGCATTTTTTTTAGGATCTTTTTTCAAACCTAGATGAATGCAGAGTTGATCAAATGTAAACAGATGCACATCCATTTACATCCACCAGCCCATAGACCAGTCATTTGCAACCTCTTTATTGTCGAGAACCCTTTAGGTTCTTGCAGACAGGCTGGCTGAGCCCTTTCACTGTAATTCTCAATGTATTCCTTCTATGGGCATCCCACAACCCATAGAAAATATTCCATTGTTTGCTTATGCTGTATTCATCAAGTATACACTGCTGTATACATCAGCACGCAGCCATACATGTGAACGACACGCTGTCTGCCGCACATGGCCTGCCCAGGCAGAGGAAATATGCTGGGAATTATGCTAAACGGGCTCAGCCAGCCCATGTGCAAGAGCCCTTAAAAAAAACTTTTCAATCTCAGGGAACTCCTTGTAGAAAAAAGTTAATAGGATTGAATGCTTATCTCAGCAGTAGATACTGCTCATTGCTCAAAGGAGCTATTAGCAACCTCTAGATGAAACCTAGTTGAGAAAGGCTGCCATAGACTAACAATAAACTTCCATTCAGATCTGAATAAAAAATCTGAATCTGAAAAACTGACAGGTGGATCAGATCGGAATGGCCAAGTGAAAGGGGTCTTGGGATTTTATTTGTCAATCCTAAAAGAAAAAAAGTAATAGTCATTACATTCTAATTAATTTGTGAAAATAATTCTGTAATATGTTAACTATTGTTGTTTACCAACGTCACAGAACAGCTTGTTTAATATGCTAAACAACATCTAGAAGAGCCTCAAATTTCTGGAACAAACACATTTCGAGCAATGAGGCCTAAACTGAACTCTGTGGTCAAAACCCAAGCCTGGGTTCACACGTGTGGTGCAGCTTATTGCATGTGATTCATACAGGAACCGCACCACATTCCTGTGCAAATCACATGCAAATTCTGTGCGGTGCGATTTGAGCCAATGGCTCAAATCGCACCACATCCGTTCCAAAAAGGTGCAGGACCCTTTTTTTGGTCTGCACTAGAATCGGAACGCATGGGTATTCACACCCATGCTATCCGATTCTGCACATCGCACCACATTTTGCGGACCAATTTCAGGGTGTTGTTAACTTATCATACACACCCGCAGCAGTTCGCATGAACGGGGTGTGATTGTGATTCGGTGTGGAAATTCTGCACTGCATCAGTGTGAACCCAGGCTAAAAGTTATGTGTGTAGAAGTGTCAACAAGGCCTATGAAGAGAAGCACACCATCCATACTGTAAAGCATGGAGGAGAAATTTAGCTGTTTTGGGGGTATGTAAGCTCTTGATGGCAAGATGAATGTAGAATGTAATTAGAAAAAAATTGATGAAAATTTGCACTTATCAGACCAGATGCTGTGCGCCTGGACTTTCCAATATGACAGTGATCTGAAACAAAGGGTCAAGTCAACCACTCAGTGATTGCAGCAAAAACTAGTGCAGGTTTAGAGTGGTCAGCACAATCTACCGACCTCTACACAATTTAGTAATTTCAGGGAGATCTCAAACATTCATACTAAGCATGTGAATAAATCAAAGAGGGCACTAAATATAAGTAAATACAAAAAATTATTAGTTTAAAATAATGATGTCCGTGATAGAAAATTTTTTATATAAAAGTCCATCCACCATAACAAAGTAATTAAACAGTTCTGAAATCTTGTATAAATCAAACACCGTGCAAAAAAAATCCACCACCGAATGAAATGGGTACACTCACCAGAGCTCCATGCTGACCAGTTTATAAGTCAGCAAAGATAGCGTTTGCTCTGGGAGCGATGATCAGCAGAAGTAATCCAAACTGGGAGCAATATACTGCAAGCAGCCAGTCAGCACAATATGGAATAGCCTTTAACAGCAGGTAGTCATCACGTCTCCATACCATAGATCATGTTCGGGGAATCAAAAAAGGAAATCATGGTGCAGTACGTTTAAAACCAAAATGTTTTATTGAAACGTCAGAAATGCACTCACAAACAGGGTGTCTAGCCGACACCAGCAATGACAGCCTCAAGAAAACAGGAACGAGCCTCGCTCACCGCGATATCACAGCCAACAGTCTATGAGGAGTGTCCAGACGTCACATTCAAAAGAAGCCCCACCCTACTCGTTTCGTCATCCGACGTCCTCATGGGACGTCATCGCTCCCAGTGCAAACGCTATCTTTGCTGACTTATAATCTGGTCAGCATGGAGCTCTGGTGAGTGTACCCATTTCATTCGGTGGTGGATTTTTTTTGCACGGTGTTTAATTTATACAAGATTTCAGAACTGTTTAATTACTTTGTTATGGTGGATGGACTTTTATATAAAATTTTTTCTATCACGGACATCATTATTTTAAACTAATAATTTTTTTGTATTTACTTACATTTAGCGCACTCTTTGATTTATTCACATTTTCAGCTTTTTTTTTTGGTTAGGAGTGCAGCTTTTGTTCTATTTAGTTTGTGGCGCTTTTTTTTTTTCTCTATTTCTCATATTATTCATACTAAGCAACTAAAGAATTTACAGGACCATGGCCAAAAGGTTAACCACAGGAGAACATAAAAGTTCTCATTCACAACTATCACATAAAACACAAAGCCATCATTGATGCTAAAGGGACAATAGATGATATTAAGAACTTAGAGTATGCAAACTTTTGAGCAGGACCATTTTCTTATTTATTTTATTGCTATGGTTTCCTTATTGGTTGTGCTATTCTGTGATGTCTAATAGTTTGATTTAAATCATTAAAAAAGAAACATGTTTGGTCTGATCATTCTTGTATTCTTAAAAATGGTCCACATCTTACAAATTCTGCCAAATGTATGTCCATATAGAAAATGAACTGCATCTTATATTACTTTTTAGTAGACAATGTAGAAAAATCTTTTTCATAAAACCTTTGTGTAGCACCCTTCTGGTTAGGTGCTAGGAAGGGTATACTTAGATTAAGCATAGCTGTGTTTCTCTGCTTACCAGAGAGGCTGTCAGGTAAATTCAGTGTAGTATTCTGCTCATCAGAGTGCTGTGATTGATGAGTTTGGTCTGCTCATGCTGCTCTGGTGCTGTTGGAGTTCTGCCTGCCTTTAAGAAGCTATGAGAGCCTTCCAGAACATGGGTACCAAGCTAGGCTGGAGGCAGGCTGCCTCGCCTGGCACTTGCTGCGATGTGGCCTTAGGTGGGTCGACTTGAGGGTCTGAAGTTAGAGAGCGTGACCTTGGTTCTTTAGTAAGCTGACTGAGGGGAGTTGTCTGCCAAAGATCTGTCTGGTTTCACTGGAGAGAGTCGCTTGGAAGATTGGAAGGAG